AATCCGTGTTGAATGGCACGCGACCAGATACGAGCGAACACTCTTGACTTTATTGTTGTTGATGATACTCGTGATGGTGATGGCGATGGTGATGGTGATGATGATGGTGATGACGGTGATGTCGATGTCGATGTCGATGCCAAGGGCGATAGTGAGGGCTATGCTCATGATGCTGGTGATGAACATGGTGACGATGCTGATGATGATGGTCATGATGTTGACTTTGATGTTGATGATGCTGGTTTTGATGGCACTGGGGATGATGATGACGGTGACGGCAATGACGATGACACTGCCGATGATAATGATGATGTTGCTGATGGCGATGGTGATGAAACTGATGATGTTGATGGAGATGATGACCATGGTGATGCTGACGATGATGCAGCTGCTGGTGAGGATGATGCTGATGAGGATGATGATGGTGCTGTTGCTGTTGCTGATGAGTATAATGATTCTGCTGATGTTGTCGTTAGTAATGATGATGATGATGATGATGATGATGATGATGATGATGATGAGGATGATGATGATGATGATGATGATGATGATGATGATGCTAATGATGATGACGGTGATGATGCTGATGATGATGATGCTGATGATGATGATGGTGGTGATGCTGATGCTGATCACGCTGCTGATGCTGCTGGTGATAATGATGCTGCTGTTGTTGATGATGCTGAGGATGAGGATGCTGCTGCTGATGATGACGAGGATGCTGCTGCTGGTGATGATGGTGGCGATGATGAGGCTGCGGCTGATGATGATGCTGCTGATGATGATGGTGCTGATGCTGCTGATGATGATGATGATGACGATGATGACGATGATGATGATGATGATGATGATGATGATGATGATGATGATGATGATGATGAAGATGTTGATGACGATGATGCTGCTGCTGCTGATGATGATGATGGTGGTGGTGATGATGATGATGATGATGATGACGACGACGACGACGACAACGACCGACGACCGACGACCGACGACGACTGACGACGTGACGACGTTTGTGATGACGCATCCTCCCAGCCCGCCGTATGTCTGCTCGATTTCGTCCTGTTCCTTCCATTGACTTGGGTGGCGGAGGGCCGAACGACCGCGGCTCACGGAGCATTGGATCCGCATTCCCGCCAACGGGCTGTGGACGTGCCGTTACCCAGCCGAGCTCCTGCAGCGGACGTTCTGCCAGATGCTCATTCTCAGGACCCTTGTCTACCCCAATCTTTTCTCACTGTCGAGAGAATACGACGGAGGGTTTTTGCCAATCTTCGGCAACCAGCGGCCCTCACCGGGCCCCAGGACCGTCAAAAGCAGCCTCACAACGAAAATATATCCAGTACCGGAGGAGGGGTCTGGGCCTCTGGGGGTCCCCGTTGCGAGCAAAATTACGACTTCGGAGTTCTGGATATTGCGGTAGGTTCGCGCCCAGTGACCTCTGCGCGAATCGGACGATCGAAATGGAGACGGAAAGAATGTGCGCAAAGACCGACAGCAATTCCTGACAATTTTGAACAGGAGTCGTTGTCGGTGTCGACCCTGTCCATTTTAGACAGAAGGTTGCCTGCCCAGCAGCGGCCTCTGTCGGTTTTGGGCATCGTGTGCTGTTCGGCATCGTACCCATTTCGGGCGTCCAAAGTGGGCGTCCGAGGTTGGACGCCGCCAGTGGTCCAGCGTCGGCCTTTCTCGAAGGAGCCGCACTGCCGGGAGTCCGCGGTCGCTCCAGGTTGGTGGGCCCACAACGGTGGCCACCGCGACGTGAATCTGCCGTACGTATGCCGTCCCAGGGGCTCCAGGGAGCGGGGCAAAGGGCTCCTCCTCCTTCCCCCGCATCCTTCTCGCTTCCTCCTCTACTTGCCGCTCGTCCCCTTCCCCTGCAGCAGTCGAGGGCGCCTGGAGGCGTCCGCCGATCAGTGTCTGCCTTGGCTATTGGCCCGTTCGCGCCGAGGTCGCGCCGAACTGGTGCCCGAGGTCGGTCGCTCGCTCGCTCGCTCGCTCTCCTGCCCCTGCTCCCCTTTCTCCCTTTCTCCTTCCCATGTGTCCCGCTGGCCAAGCCGACATGACCAGCCTGCGGTCGGCTTCGTGCGGGGTGTGCGACCAGGAGGGCCCTCCAGAGTGGCGGCGAGCTGCCTCTCCCCCTCCCTGCCTGCCTGCCGGGCCAAGAGACAGACGCAGTCTCGGAGGGTGCCGTGGTGCGCAGACGCTGCGGCCAGCGACCTCGCCCCGAAGTCGTGGGGGCCTGGGGCCGCAGCGGATCGATCCAGCTCGAGGGGCGCCGCAGAGCGACGTGGCCTGGGGCTCCGGCCGCGATCGGTCGAGCCGTGCGAGGCGGGGGTCGATGCGAGCGGGGGGCAGCCAGAGCGCCAGGTCCTGCAGGATCCTGCAGGCTCAGGGCCGCACTGGCCCCGGCCTGCGCGCAGGGCCTTGCAGGCTTCCGCAGAAAGCCGGGCCGGCCCGGGCTGGCGCTGACCCGGGTCAGGGCGTCCCCGAGTCGCCTCGCCGCGCCGCGGCTTCCGTCGCGGCGTGGGATCGCGAGGGGCGCGGGAGCACTGCCGAGCAAAGCAGGGCGAGATCGAGCACGCGGTGTTCGGTGTTGTGCCTTTGCGGTGCGCGGTGTGTGGTGCACGGCGCGGAGCGCGTCGAGAAGGCGATGGATGCTCGCGCGATGCGCGGCGCCATCTCGGGCGACGATACGACGGCGGGCAGGCCGTGGTAGGCCTCAGCGCCGAGCCCCCGCGGGCGCATCGAGGTTAAAGTCGGGCATGTCCCTGTGCAGGAGGAAGATTCAAGAAAAATCAAATCTAGTCAGGGGACGATTTGTCGATTGTTTTTTTGAATGCTGTTCGAGTATTTGTTTGAGAACGTTTGGTTGGTGAGGAGTATGTTTTAACTCTTCTCATGCTTCCGGCGACAATTGCCTGCTGCACGAGGACGTACCCCCTAAATCTGGGGCACAGCTCTCTGGGCGGTGGCCGAAGGATAAAAGGCCGCCTTCAGCCCATGTTTGGGGGAGTGGCCGCGGCCGGCGCTCTGGGGGAGAGCGCGCGCCGATGTCGCCCAGGCTTCGCGGCTCGAGGCTCGAGGCTCGAAGTTTTGAGGGGCCCATCGTCGGCGGTGAACGGGGGGGGGCAAGTGAGAAGGAGAAGGCCTTCTCAGAGGGCGGCGTGGCTTCTCAGTGGCCCTCGCGCATTCTCTGAGAAGCTTGTTCTGTCTTCGGTTGGGGGGCGGGCCTCGGAGCACTTCTCAGAAGGCGCGAGGGCACGTCCGAGCCTTCTGAGAAGGCCTTTTCCTTCTCACTTCCCCCCCTCGCCCTGCCGCCGACGTCAGGGTCCGAGGTTCGAGGCACTCGAGTATTTCTGCTGGTCCTCGGCGGCTCTCCAGCTTCCCGAGCTGCTTCAGCGGCTGCGCCTCGCCAAGAGCGCTCCGGGGTTGCCCAGATCGTGCCGGCCGGCCGCCGGAGAGCCGAGTTATGGCCCAAAAGCTAGCAGGAGGAGGAGGAGGAGGAGGAGGAGGAGGAGGAGGAGGAGGAGGAGGAGGAGGAGGAGGAGGAGGAGGAGGAGGAGGAGGAGGAGGACGCATCAGCGCCCAGTCGCGCACTCCTCGCCAAGAGGGGCCGGGCAGCCCACCCTGTGAGGTTTCTCGGTGTCAGGGGCCTGTCGCCGACCAGTCGGCGATGTATCGCCGATTCCAGGTCGATGTTCCCCGCTCCTGAGCCAGCCTCCCTCCCCGAACGTCGCTCCTGAGAGATTGGGGCTGAGAGGGGAAGGTGAAGGCGGGGGCCAAACGAGTGAGAATCGGGGGTGCCCGTTTCTCACCCAGACGGAAGGAGGAGGAGGAGGGGGAGGAGGGGGAGAAGGAGGAGGAGGAGGCGGCGGAGGAGGAGGAGGAGGAGGAGGAGGAGGAGGAGGAGGAGCAGGAGGAGCAGGAGGAGGAGGAGGAGCAGGAGGAGGAGGAGGAGGAGGAGGAGGAGAGGAGGAGGAGGAGGAGGAGGAGGAGGAGGAGGAGGAGGAGGAGGAAGGGGAGGAGGAGGAGGAGGGAGGAGGAGGAGGAGGAGGAGGAGGAGGAGGAGGAGGAGGAGGAGGAGGAGGAGGAGGAGGAGGAGGAGGAGGAGGAGGAGGAGGAGGACCAGAGCAAACCCACGACGTGCGGCTAAGGCCCTCCTCACAGGTCTTACCCTTCCCGCGAGGAGGAGGAGCGAGCTCCCTGCGGGCCTGCCGGTCCGGCGAGAGGGCCATTTTTTTGAGACAGGGGGCTGCCTTGAACGCGGAGCGAGAGGGCGGAGGAGGAGGAGGAGGAGGAGGAGGAGGAGGAGGAGGAGGAGAAGGACAAGGAGGAGGCGGAGGAGGAGGAGGAGGAGGAGGAGGAGGAGGAGGAGGAGGAGGAGGGGGAGGAGGAGGAGGAGGAGGAGGAGGATGGACGGATCATACGGTCCAACGAGGCCTGCAGCGCTAATCCCGATCAAAAAGGGATGCCCCCGCCGCCGCGTAAGTGATGCGCGAGTTTACGTACGCATCGGCCTGCCAAACCGGCGATTGCCACGTTTCGAAACAAGGAGCTGCCTTGAATGCGGAGCGATAAGGAAGGATCATACGGCTCAACGAGTCCTGCAGTGATGCTCCGAGCATTTTCTTTGGGTGGAGGGCAAAGGGTGAAATCTGAAATGCCGTTTCGATTAATTTTCGGTGTTTGAGTCTGCAACAGGTGAACCAAAAGACGGATTGGTTTTCGAGGTGCAAAAGCCAATACGGATTTCACCCTGAGCCCTCCACCCGAAGAACATGCTCAGATAATCCCGATCTAAAAGGAATGCCCCCGAAGCCACGTAAGTGTTGCGCGAGTTTACTTGCGCATGGGCCTGCCAATCAGTCAAGGGCCGCTGTTCGAAACAAGGAGCTGCCTTGATCGCGAGCGATGAGGAAGGATCAGGCGGCTCAACGAGGCCTGCAGCGATAGTCCGAGCATCTTCTTCGGGTGGAGGGCAAAGGGTGAGA